TAAAAGCGACTGCACCGTACGTACGGGTAATCTTCGCAAATTAGCAGCTTGGTAACCGATGTTTTGTACAGTTAAGCAGAAAAACGTTATTCGTGAAGCCGATTTTTTAATATTTTTTAAGTGCAGTACCATATTACACAATTTTTACTAGTTAATGCCAATTAAAATGCCATACTGTGAGTCGAGGTGAAATGGAGTCCACCTATCAACCTACGTTATTAGTACCTCCTAAGGAAAATTGTACAAACTATTAATGTATCCAAATATTAAAATTAAGTAAGTAGGTTATAACTTATCTGTGATTTTTCTCTAAAAATGTTGATGCTAAGGCAAAGCAATACATATAATTTGTATGAGACTGATTTTTTAAATAAAAATAATGAATCTTAACCATTTTATTATTTTAACTAACCTGACCAGAAAACTTTTGTATTCAACTGTACTAACAAAACATCTATATTATCCTGTTCATTTCAGATGGTTGCGCTTATGTATGGTGCGGTCGCTTTTATGTGACCTTTTCAATTTGGTCGGCTCATTAGAGAATTGCTGACATAATCTTGTTTTTGAGATAACTTTCATTAGAGCCGTAATTCAAAGCTGCAATTAACAGGAAGGAATTTTCAGGAATCATTTTAATTTGTTTAAAGTATGCCATGTTTCTTAATGTTATGGGAACTGCGTATTTGATCGCTAAAGTACGACCAGTCTAAAATAAATCAAATTTGTTTTTATCTTCTTAACGTGTAAAGTATGAAATCTAAAATGTCTGCTGTAAACAAGCGTCGAACCACGGGTATTTTTTACAGCTGTTTATTTGGTTATAAGTGTATTGGTTTACTTGCAAACCCGTTTCTTCTGATTTTTGAAACCATTTAATTACATTGGTTTACGTCAACCAAATCAAAAACTAATGATTAAACAAATTTAAACAAATTGAGGTCTTTTATTGGTATTTTTTTCAAACTTCTGCGTTGAGCCGTTTTCGAGATCTGGGAAATCCCAAAACGTTACCGCAGCAAAATCTTAAATAACTAAAGAACTATACCACACACAAATTTTGCTATTTATAAACATTTACTACGCAACAAAAGCTATCTATTCATGTATTTGGTTCCGTGCTGAAACTAATTTTTGAAAGACTATTTTGCCTGGGTAACGTTTCAAACGTTACTCCAGCAAAATTTGTTTTTCTTAAATAACTTAAAAACTACAATTCAAACAAATTTTGCTATTAGTAAACAAATTGCTCCTCATGATACACTAATTATTTGTTTAAGTCTCATCTCTCTAAAGCAAAACATTTTGCCTGGGTAACGCACACCATCGCGGATGGGCTCGGGAAGGCGCGCAGATTCCTGCGACTGCTCGTGAAGTCGCGGGACTACGTGACTCCGCGCTTCGCTGCCCTTCACCGCTCCTTCCGTGTGAGTCGACCCTAACTCCTCGAGTAGTGTGCAAGTGGGGATTTAATGAATGTGTTTGAGAATCGAACTCGCGACATATTACACAGAAGCCAGTAATTGCCCCTACGTCAACCGTGCACTCAAATGCCGTGCGGGACGTAAAATGAATGGAAAAAGGTGTGGATTGGATAGGATAAATTATGAAAACAAAAAACATCAATTTGTTTTTTAAATTATATTAAAAATTAACCTACACCTGCGACTCGGGCAGAGTGGTAATGATGTCAGAATCACCAGGGTCAGTAATAGCGAGTGTGCACACCCTGTAGTACTTTCCACATGCTGTGCCTAACTCGATGTTGTTTCCACTGTAATGGTGGACTCCCGTCTTAGCGAGGAGGGCATAGTACTCAATCTCTGATTTCCTACAACAAAAGGTCACAGTTTACATAAATTGGACACTACAAAAAATATCCTACAACAAAAGGTCAGTTTTAACTGGACTGAAAAAAAAAAGTTGCCGCACACTAGGATTTTCTCCCGCCGTGGGTGCGTTTACAAACATACAAGTTCACATACAGGTGACACCCAGCCGAAACAACAATTTGTGGATCACACAAAGAGTTGCTCCGTGCGGGAATCGAACCCGCTACACGTTGCGCAGCAGCCGACATGAACCTCAATAGAAAAATCATGTATACTATAATTTACTTGATAGAGAGGTAATCAAGCTTACCTATCAAAGTTCAGCAGAGCTTAAGACTACTCCATAGGTTTCCCAAGTGGATCAGAAACAAGTCATGTTTTGTTGCACTACATTAGTGATATTGATATTTCTACTGGTATTTCATTAAACTAGGTTGTATGCACAGTTTTGATCTGATAATGCCTAAGCATACCGCTTCATATTTGGCGGGCATTTTAGGTTGAACAATGTAAGCCTTCTTGTGAGTGCATTTGAAACCAAACATGACAAGTTTATGAAACACCGAGGGAATCCATACTTCTTTGTCAAAAGACTCCATATGCTTCCCTTTGACGAAATAAAATATACTGGGAAACTCTACTTCTCAGTAGTCTCACCTTAGAGGAGGAGCGTTCTTAGCAATGATGACCAGCTTGGCTTTGCCTTGACGGAGAGTCTTCAATGTTTGCTTGTAGCCAAGGCAGTATTTGCCAGATTTCATAACCAGAGCCAATCGAGAGTTGATAGACTCGATGGTCTTTTTCTGAAATCGAAATACATTGATTATTGTTACAATATACTTTATGAATTATACAGCCCTTTACCTCATTTTTTTAAATCTTAAATAAATTCATAACCTATTTTTTGTTCGATACGTTCTCAACCTTCCAAATTATGAAACGAGCAAGCCTATCTTGTATCACAATTATGATCTTGGACTCAATTAAGGATTAGTGAATATGAAGTCATTTAGTAACCCTGTATTAGTCCAATAGAAATGTCTGTTATAACACGTGTACGACACTTACTTGTTTCTTGGCCGCAACCATTGTGTATGTTGTAATCACGAATTACTGAAACAAAAGAAGTAATTTAAGCTTTTAAAAAAGATATGGATAATTATTTTAATAAAACAAATTCGTAATTAAAGGAATTAGAGAGAATCTAATATTCAACACACCTTCCGTAAAAACGCGTTGCACAGAAAAGAAAGATGAAGTTGTAAAAGTGTTGCCAACTTCTAAACTAGATTTTTTTATTTGCTAAGTACAGAATACTGGTCTTTTGGCGTCCAAAATTCCATAAGCAATGCAGGATACGTGTTGGACACGGAACGTGGACACCCGTTAATGTGGAAATAAAATACACCGAACCTTGTTCTTTGTTAAATATGAAAACTCGCCAAATCATAATAACTAACAGAACACTAGGTATGGAATAACATGCCTTTGGGGGCGTTAAAAATTTGTCCATAACTACATATAAAGTTTGGAAATGACATGACCACCTACAAGGCGGTCAGTACGGCGGCGGTTTGTGGGCCCATGCCCATATTCAGTTTGGTTCTTTTCGACACTTGTTGCATTATAATATTGTAATAGTATTACTATCCTTTCTGTTTTAAGCACTTATATTTATAAATCTATGGTTTTAAGCCATTGCGCACTGGGCGTGTTTGCTCATGGCTTGGCTAGAAATTGAGCAGTACAATAGTACCAAAGAGTATAATAATTAATTATAAATCTATGAAGTATGAACAGTAGGTACAATTTAGAGGTAGACGCAAAGAGTATATATGTATAGGGGGCGACGTCATCTGATTCCCTTCCCTGTTGTGTTGACGTTTGACGAAGGTTTGACGACTGACGTTGACCTTTTAACTTCGCTCCTTCTTGTCACGTCATTTTTGAAAGACTACAATACTATATCTGATTGTCATTTTATTACGGGTCCTCGAAAGTGTTATTGCTGGTGTCCCATAACTTTAGTTTGATAACTAGAAGATATTACAGACCAAGTTGTTGTCCAATACTTTTCGTCCTTAACGAATAAAATAAGACTAAAGTTTTTAATATGGCTGAAAAAAGTGCAAAAAAAGTTAAGAGTTCAGGGCCCTCTGCAATTGGAAAATTCTACCTTTTGTCATATAATGCTATCCAAACTTTAGGGTAAGTAAAATTTATTAGAAAGAAGTATTTTCAAATTTATAATTAATTTGGTCTAAGTACCTAGTTAACATCCACTTACTTTTTGTGTGGTAATCTGTAGGTAAACCCAATGTTTGTCAATTCCAGAATTTATTAATAATTAGAATTATACAACCTAGAAACCATACTAGAACCGACACCATATTACTGCCAATCACTAATGTAAAACTTGAAAACTGGTATATAAGCTATTGCTGTTACCTTACATGGTTTAAGAATGCCTATACTACATCTCATCTCAGTATTACCTAAACATATTACTAATTTAGTTAAAATACAGTAATAAATATTATACTGTTATTACTGTATTTTGATGTCATAAAACTTTATTATAATATTTAACTTAGTTATGTTAAGTTTTGCAATCCAATTTTGACATTATTATAATTATACAGAAGTACAATCATAGAACTGGTAAAACACTTTTAAAAAGGTGACCTCACACTATAATTTTCTCCTGCGTCATGGGTTCACTTATAAACATAATCATGTCTACATTACATGGAAACAGATAACAGTTTGTAAATCACGTAAATAATCTTTCAATTTGGAAATTAAACTCAACATGTTGACTGGCCCAGTCACAATCACTAATTCAATATAATAATGTCCAACATTATTTATTGCAGATGGTCGTACATGCTGATACAATCATTTATACATTTCCTGGATCGTGGAAGTTTAGATACTTTTTGGCCAGTTATTAAAACAACTGTCGTTGTATTTCAGAATGCAGCTGTCCTTGAGGTAAAGTATTTGTTTAGTTATAACTTATTACATCTTACTTAACATTGATTATTATGTACACAGTAAATATAAAGTCTAAGTTAAACTGTCAAACACCAAACGGTCACCGGTGACCGCAACCTATTGTTCTATAATTGTGTCTACAAAACCGGTACTCGACGAGTTAATAGAAGATTAATTCCATAAATTTGAATGTTTTTTTACAAAATTCATTTTTATATTTTATTGTTTTAAGCTGCGTTAAGTATGTATCAATATTAAACTAAATATTTCAATAATCAAATGCATTAAGTTGTACCACAAATACATTGTTAATTTATACTTTGTAAAACAGTCAGCCATTATCTACATAATTTTCTTAGATATGTTCAATTTTTTTTTTTTTTGTAAAGCTCAAAGAACGATTATTTATTGTCATAAAAGTGTTCTGGTTGGTTGCTGGCTAACAGAATTACACTTAAAGTCAGTTCTTTACCAACATTATTATGTTTGTGAGTAAGTGTATTCATTGTTGGAGACCTTTATTTATTAATTAAAACGGCAAATAAATGTTTAAAATGTATATTTAAAAGTGAGATATTATTGGGTGAAGGCAAAAGTGCATGAGGTCCAGACCCCAATTTAATAGATTTCTGTCATATGGCAGTGAAGCACAATGCAAAGCGCTTGTTTGCAAAAATGGACTCTCATAAATTTTACTCATGACAAAATGACTCAGGGATTATTTGAACTAAATTCTAAACACAAGTGTGTACCTACTTAAAATGGAAATATAAATGGTTTTACTATATTCATTGTATTTAAATCATATGAATATTTATACTCTTTGTTACAAGGGCATTGAAATGTAGCATATCTTGGGTAAGTATCTTAGCAGTTATATTGTTTAACTATATTCATGCCTTCAATTGAATTTAAAATATGTGTTGTTTAAGTTTTCAAGTGGTGTGGGAGCAAAACTTAATGCATTTTTATGTTATAACGTAAATGGTTCTGTTTTATTATTGGGGATAATTATAAGACTTAAGTGGTATGATGATTCCTGTGTACTACTATAGTTGAACAATAAAACAAGGCAATCCCTCAATGGATAATATAACTAACTATTGTACTATTGTGTTGGTTGGATTAGATAGAAACACAGTTATTTGTATTATGCCTATTTATTTTTTACATAACAAACGAAGCATAAACATCACTCGTTTTTCTTTAGATTCTACGATGTCGTCATTTGGCGTGTTCATAAACCGGTACAAGAATATTATTTTCTTGTCACGCAAATGATCACGCGATTATAGCCTTTATTTCAAAGCGTTGTAAGTAGACAGCTAATTGATATCTTGAAACATAAAGATGCTAAATACGTGTCGAAGTATTTATGTACGTTAAGTAAATAATCTCAAGTCCTACATTCATCTGTAGGTATGTTAGTGAAGTGTCACACGTATGTCTTATAAGTAATGTAAAGCATAATTAACCCTAGACCTGGCAGTTCATTTCATACCGCCTTATGGTCTGCTATAAATAATTATGTCGAATGTTAATTTTGGGTCAATGCAAATAAAAATTTTTGTGAATGCATACAAAATAAATAATATTAAGTGTAGTAAGTAATTACCTAAATGAAACAGCTGAAATAATTCCAATAATTTCGTATTAAGTTAACAGGAGGATTTAAACACATTGAATATTTATGTACGTAACGTCTATTTGTATTTATATTGAATACTAGCGACCCGCCCCGGCTTTGCACGGGTGCAATATGCATGTATTATACATACAAACCTTCCATAAGAATCACTCTATCTATTAAAAAAAACCGCATCAAAATCCGTTGCGTAGTTTTAAAGATCTAAGCATACATACGGACATACAGCGAAAGCGACTTTGTTTTATACTATGTATTGATTGTTAATTTGAATGATAGCAGGAATCGGAGAAATTATAAAATATATTGATACTATCTACTCCTCTGGGTCTCGGGTTGGATTCCCGGGTCGGGCAAAATATTACTGGTTTTTTTTTTTAAATCTCAGTGGTAGCACGGAGTCTAGAAATGTGCCCGGTATATGGCAATAGGCTCACCCCTATTACATGGAACTCGTAACATAAATAGTGAAAAGTGGGTGTTACTTCTGTGTGCACCTCAGCCTACCCTTTTGGGGATAAAAGGGATGTTATGTTATGTTATGTACTCCATGAATCTAACATTTATCAATCAGAATGTCACGTTGGGAACAGATTGATATTTTATATTCTACGGAATCAATATCCTGTTAAGTACTTGAACGAAATGTATTTTTTTTAAATTGTTGTACCTTTTTTAGATTATTTATTATTTGTTTCAGGTGGTACACGCATTAATCGGCCTAGTACCCTCTGGAGTCGCGGTTGTACTGCCACAAGTGTACTCGCGCGTCTTTTTAGTATGTGGTTGTCTGTTAGCTACTGAGTCCGCCACTGTGAGTCCCGGTCTGCCCCTGTGTATACTGGCCTGGTCTATCACGGAGATCATAAGATACGCCTACTACACACTTAATCTGATCAACAGTGTACCAGAAACATTACTATTTCTCAGGTAATTGACTGTTCTGCACTACACCACAATAATTAACTTTTGTTTCTCACTAAGTTACAAACTCCATAGAGTTCATTGTTCACCAGTGTCATGTAAACTCTCTGATATTATGTCACTAGACTTATTTATTGTTTGATCACTCGTATTATTGTGCCTAAATTAGTGACTTCAAAATTAATGATTTTTTTCAGATATTCCACCTTCCTGTTTCTCTACCCATTGGGAATTACTGGAGAGCTGCTGTGCATGTATCACTCTTTGGATGAGATCGCAGAAAAACAATTGTTCACAATATCTATGCCTAACGCGTGGAACGTAGCATTTAACTACTATTATTTCTTAGTCTTCTACATGTTCTTATACATTCCTATCTTCCCCTTCCTGTACGGACACATGTTGGCGCAACGAAGAAAAATGCTCAGCAAAGACGCAAAGAAAACTAAATAATGACTTACTACTAATATTATTAGTGACACTTATCACATTGATGAGTTTTATATTATAGTATTTTAGTCAAGTCTGTATTTTTTGTATACAGATTTACGAATGTCTTTGGACGACAATACCATGCTACTATATCCTCACGCTGCGCTCGCGTCGCAAATACTGCACGTAATAAATGATATTTTTATCTTTTTATACACTTCGGAAAGCGTCAGTAGCACGTTTTAACCAATCAGAACTTATGATTAAAGTTGATAAATATGTTTACCTACACGTGCAATGACGACCAAGCGAGAGCTAATGACGCCGTTCCGATACCTGCTGATACCAAAACCAAAACTGACAAATAATTTGAGGATGGCAAACAAAGGAAATTTTATGTAAAGAAAGAAAATATTTTGTGCGTTTTGATAAATCGAATACAGGCCTCCACAGATTTGATACTATTAGGTACATAGATTAGTACCTGTATTTGTATGTGTGTATTTTGTCATCTACCGTTTGAACGTGCTGATGGCACCAAAATGAATACTCAATCTTCGTATTGCATTTTTTTTTATTGTAGCGTAATGAGGGCTACTGGTTAGGTTAGCTAGGTGCTAGTTATTGTGGTGGCCTGGGTTAATAATTGCTAGCTGTTTAATTAATTTATGAATGAATTAATTAATAATTATAATAATATGGTCGATTGGGTTATGGGCAATGATATGCAAATATAATAAATTTATTTTTATGACATATTAAAAAATGTTTTATTTATTCTTTGACAAGGTAGGCAACTAGGCACAGCAGCCAGTTGTGGTTCGATGCCCGCACGAAGCAACTGTTTGTGTGATCCACAAATTGTACTTCCAGATCTGGGGGTGAAGTGTATATGACTTTGTTTGTTTGTAAACACACCCGACATCGGGAAAACTTAATTTTTCTGATAACCACCATCATTGAACATGCCCGTTGCCGGCTTAAGTGGTCCTAAATCTCTTACAGAGGACAGACTCTTTATAAAAGCCAGCTGCGGTGTACTACTATGCGTATTAAGTACTTGTATGACCACAAGTACAAGCATAAAACATACATAAAATCTGCAAGTATCTACCTATTTATATTTTTATTCAGCGAAATGAATTACTAATAAATCAACGTAATTCATCAAAACTTGTATCGTTACTTAACGAAATCACTAATTGATCTAGTAATATTTCGAAAAAAGATCGAAATCGGTTTTGGCCCTAAGTAGTTAGGTCACGTCGCTCATCAACAGCCCATGAATATCCACTGTCATACTACGAGCATCATTTATCAAAGAGCGTTTACCACGCGTTTACGCTAGGCGTGGGTATTATTACGAGTGGTGTAGTGTGAGCCTTGGCGGGGCATATAAAAATATGTTTGGGGCCAAACTATTTTTTAGTTTGGGGCCCCCTCAAATAATTTGTTTAATTTATAGTACCGTTCCGTACCGTAGTAGTACCTACCTATAGTAAACGTTTTCCTCACAAAATGCACAGGTAAAAAGTATTGTAAAATTAATGGTTGAAAGCTATTGATCCAAGATGAATTTTGAAAGATTACCTACATCAAAATCTATTAAATAGCCAATTTTAAAAAAACCAACATTCCCGTAAAATTTTCCAGGTAACCCCCATACCTATTTCTATCCAAATTATCGGACTATGATGACTTTAGACCTTTAATTTTTCTTAGGTTCTGCCAATACACGCATGCTTTACGCGGAAAAATAGCTTAAATTTTGACATTTAAGATTTCTAAAATAAACTAAAAAATTAGGAGGGATTTACTCATTTTTGCTCACGCACGTTGAGGACCCCCATAGGCGCGCTAGCTACGCCCGCCCCTGGGTACCTATTAGTATTAGTTACTACCTACGTCTAGCAGGCCAAAGGCCAGCCTAAGAAGTTAAAAGGATCAGGTTAATCAGAAAGCGCTGCTCTTCCATTTATATTATAGAGGTAGTATACGTAACCGTTCTTCAGTAAAAAAATTTGATCGATACAAGGCCTCATTACCTACATAATAAACGATCTCAATCCAAATTCTTTGTATTAGGATCGATTTTTGACATGCAATAGGGACATGTATAATTATGTAGGTAGGTAGAGTTTGTCAAAACGCGAACCTAATCCAAAGATTTAGGATTCGGATTTCGGAAATCGTTTATTAATTTTGCCTACAACACCAGAGATTTTGGATTAATATCGATTTATTAATATCCAGGGTTGACGTTAAAACATCTAATCTGCGCATGCTAATTAATTTAAAAACATACTTACACTTTAAGACGTAAAAACTAATAGATAAGTGAGTTGGTAGGTACTTACTGAGATATTATTTACCTATCTATCACTATGGTAGGTGCGCGCGTAATACAAGTAGTAGTAGGTAGGTAGGTACTAATTCCCTGTACTGTGATATTCAAATTCGTAATTAATTGATGTTATTTTCGATAATACTCAAATAACAGATTACAATAGCGTAAACCTCATCAATTATGATCTCTATCTAGTGTATAATCGACATTGATTTGTAACAAATGCTGATATAGCTATTTGGCAATCTTGTTATCTACTCACCTGCCTCGCTGTATTAAAAATATTCAGACTAATAACGAAATCACAGTCGGTAGGTCGATTTTGGAGCACCATGAATAAAAAATATACAGCTTTGTTGCTTGCCTTTTTGGTAGCTGCGGCTGATGCCAACTCTATCAACCTGAAGAGTCAACCAACATCGAAGCTGTTGGAAGCTAGGTAAGTTGGACAACTTTGTTAAGTTTTGTTTCTAAAACATTTCACAATGATTTTCATATTCAAAAGCGAATATAATTTAACTAAGGTAAAAGGTAGAGATGTATTTAGATACCACACGGTCGAATCATTAACACCGCCCGTGACGTCCACTGTTGTCAGTTCGAATAAGGGCCTCCTTTACCTACATAAGAGGATTTAGGTACCTTTCCCTACGCTTAGAAGAAAGTTTGAAACTCTTGCCCGGTCCCAGTCCTCATCAGTTCCTAGTTGTAACGATTATTAATTAGATACGATTATGATGATTTGTGCGTATAATTATTGTCTCATAATAACATCACAGCGTCCTATATTCCCCGCAGGCCGGTAGCACATAAGGACAATATATGCTTATGTACGTAAAAAATACCCAGTTTGTATAGATAGAACCACGGAAACTGTTTTAAGCTGAAACCGAAGCTTAATCTAATCGTCTAGGTACTTACCTACTTGAATACGTAATGCAGAATCAAGTAGGTAGGTATTTTATGATTAAATTTATTTTGCAGCCGCGATTGGGGTGATCTTGGTCAATCAGCAACTGTCAACGAATATGTGGACAATACTATTGACATGATCATCCCCCTCATCGTAAAGCATGGCCTCGATCCTATGGACTTGCCCGAAGTCGTCGAGGGTTTTGAAGTTGTAAGTATCTTCCTATTTAATTATTTATGTATGTTTTTTGTTTTTGTCGTTTTCGCTTGCCGCACACCGCAACACCAATTTTGGGCGACTAGTTTCTTAAAAAAAACTCAATCTTGAATTATGATTTACTAAGGTATATATCGTGGGTGCGTTAACAAGCATATAACCACATCGTACACAGTCCCAGACGCAGAACAAAAAGTACATAGGTATATCACAAAAAGAATTGCGCCGAAGCCGGACGCTACGATCAGATATAATTTGATATAAATCGTTCTCTTGCTGCCGAAATAAATAAGCGACCCTTATTCAAAATATCTGGATCGAATACAACTATAGTTACCTACACAATTATAACTAATTGTTATTAGTTTCGGCCTTGCCTTTTCGTTTTACAGTAGGTACCTACTTTATTCAACTTTGGGTAATTTTATTTCAGTTAGGATTTTTTTTCATTTCAATTATAAGTAGGTAATAGGTATGTACCAAGTTAATTACTTTCGAGAAGTTCGAAAAGAAAAATTGTATTTGATATTATTTTTATCCGATTTGAGAATCATTTAATTACGACCCTGTGCTCAAAGCAAACTGGAGAGATTAGATACAGGAGCTATCACGAATACTTTATTAGGTACTTACGTGCGTACGTACTCTAGGAAATATAAACTAGATATACTAACTACTAAGTAAGTTTGTTAATTTGCACTTTAGTCAATTAAACTACCCATGGCCTAGTCAAGTTTAGATACCTTGGTTTATTGGTGATCCTTATTCCTCTACTCTATAAATACCTGTGACTGTGAACCTAATGTCAAGCTGCAGTGTAAGCTAAGCTGTAGAGGTACCTGGTACCTGTCTAACCACTAATACAAGTAAAGCATATTCCTTTATAGGTAGGCTTACTATGTATGTGCGTACCTACTGAGAATCTTCAAATCCTACTAACGGAAATAAATCTAAATTATTTTAGAGACCCTTGCTGATTACATACAGCGCATGGCTGAAGATCTACGATGGTTACATGACTGGACTAGTCAACGTGTCCCGCTCCGGCGATCAGGAAGTTCACTACTTCGCCAAAATGCTGCGTCTGCGCATCAAGCTGCAGTTTAGAGACCTTGAGGTGAGATTTGAAATAAAAAGTTTTAAAGATCTCTTTCTAAGTTTTACGATTAAAACGCTAATTTTAAAACATAGTTCTGCTTTAAGTCATTTGTATTAGTAAGTACTACTTACAGAGGTAGGCAGATAATTATAATTACTAATTAAACATCAGTCTTGGTCAGTAGACCTAGACAAATTAATACAATGAAATACCTACTGTTACAGTTTACTCGCTAGTCGTTAGTTTTTTTTCATAGATACCTACTTACCTACCTAATGATGATTATTCACATAATAAGAAGTTAATACTTATTTCAGTTAACTATCTTTAAAACTAGGAAGGACTAACTAGGTTTTTCTTAATAATTTCAGTTCATCTACAAGTACTTGGTGCAAGCTATGAACATTGGACCCACTGGTGGTATCATTGCCAGCCTCAACCGCTTTGTGGTCATTGTTGACATACTTCTGGACTTCAATAATGACGAAATTCATCTACAACAGTTCAAACTTACTGACATTGGGTATGTTATTTACCTTCATAGACACTCAGACAGCATCAATAATTAGAATGATTAAATTCAACATGTATCTCGCAGTCACCTATTGGGCCAAAGCTTTGTAACTATTGAATATAGACATACTTAGATATAGAATATAGAAATAATTAGGTAGTAATAGAAATAGAATAGGTACAAATTACAAAGGTTTCTTTTCCTCCTTGCTTCTGTGGCGCCTCCTACTACCTAAACATACCTACTTTATACTTTAAAATCTTTTGACGGATACATTTTTATACATATTTTATCCACATTTATCCACATTTTATGTATTCTATTAAATAGATAAACTCAAACGCGATAGACATGAGTTTCCAAAAGTAATGTTTGTTTTCAGCCGTCTTCGTGTTCGTTTCACTGGCAACATCCTGACTGACTGGCTGCTCAACCCCGTACTCAACGTCTTCCTCAGAATCTTCGATACTATCATCATCAAGGTTGTCGAGATCAACATTCGTAACGCAGTACAAAACGAAATCGATTCTATTAACGCTAGCGTTAAAGAGGTTGTTAGAGATCTTGAAGCAATGAACCACTAAAACTCATTGGCGAATTCGCATTCAAAATGTTGAAATGTACCTAACTGTCGTATTCTACTAAGATAACAATAACAATGTACCTAATTAAATAAATATTAAATGATTTATACTTTGAAATAAGAAATAGTTTTTTTTTATTTGTAGCCTCCATTGCTATGCTTGCCTTATTACCTACCCTACTTACAAAATAAACAAGTACCTACTCGCTTAACCATTTACGCGCTTAATAGTTGTAGGTACTGAATTATGTCTAGCCTTCACAAAGATATAAGTAGTTAAGTTACGTTACCTATGCCAGGAAAGTTTTTCCGCTTATTCGGCAAGTTTAGTTTGTATTTATTTATTCAAATTCAAGACACACTTTGTATGTAATGGAGTTGTGTGGTGTAGTAGTGGCCACTAGTGGCACTGGCCGCGAATTGGCTGGAAGAATTTAGTGAGCCCTAGGTAGCTCTAAGACTCTAAACGGTTTGTCGCGGAGAACCTAACGGGTAACCGGGGCTCCGGCTCGATGTGCAGGAGAAGAAACGGGGTGGTTTTTAGTCAGTAAGAGTCTGACACTCGCTCCGCCTCACCCAGGCGGGAGCAATCATTTGATGATTTTCCCCCCTTAAAAAATCCGATATTGTTTTGGCACGCCACAATATACGAGTCCACGCAAATTTATTTCTGGTTTCCGCCATAAAGTTTAAAGTTGTGGTGCCTTGCCTATCTATACGATAGGATCTACCAGTCGGCTGAAATGGGCATTATTTGGCGAGACACGAGATATGATGCGACAATATGCATATGTTTCTCTGTGGCTCTATTGTAATTATTATAAATGTATAAAACCACTATGAAACCGATATGTACATTATACATTTCTGCATCACCCAAAGTATGACTCGCAGAGAATGCTGCTAGCATTAAGTCCTCCTTACGCAATTGTGTAAAACTTAAATAAAAAAAAAAAAACAAAATATTTCACGCGTGCCACGCCACGACACGCTAGGATAAATATACCTTGATTCGTGTTGTGCGTGCGTGATCGTGACTCTTCAACATTATAGAACGAACAACTTAATGTCAATGTCACTTTTGCTCCATGCTATGCTACATGCACAGACCTAACAAATCTATGGCTACATGTCATTGTTGAATTTGATTGTTAATATTGTCAATGTCAATGGAAGTGCACAGCACATGTTTTTGTCGTGAAGTGGTTGCCTGCAACATTTTCGTATCGTTAAAATTTATTATTCTGATACCTAAACGCATTTTTAAATAGTTATACTTGATACAATGGGAAAAGCTAAAAAGTTTAAACCTTCCCAGGTTGCTAAAAATGTAGCGTTAGCTGATCAAATTGAATCTGTAAAGAATGTGAAAAGTAGAAACAGAGTCAAAGAAAGAAACCGACATGATGATGACGAAGAAGTGAGTTACCTTTAGTTTTTTAGAAGAAATAGTCATACGTGTATACAACTTAAATGTTATCGAGTACCTATAAACTTTGTGTAGTTGTATAGGTTATCATGTGGCATTTATTTACAGTACAAAACATAGAATATAATGAAATACATAATGCCTCTAACATTCTTATGCCACTCATTCTTAGTATTTATTTCTGCTATTCATTTTACAAATTACAAACATTAATTGTATTTTATATGGATGTTTGTTTATAAATTATTTTCTTCTGAACTAACTTGTTGTTTATTTTTTTACTTTTTATTTATAATTTTTACAAGTAGAGATTTTAATTTATTTAATATTTTTTACAGTTTGTAAATGCAGACTTGTCAAAGAAAATCTTAAAAGCAGCCAGGAGGCAGCAGGCAGAATTAGGGGATGCAGAGGAAGGCCCTTCTCCAGCCAAACATGTGACACTGCCACCAAAATTCAGAGGTAAAATGGCCAATCATAACACTTGAAAGAGGCTTTAAAGAAAATAAAATTAGTTTTGGTTGAATAGCTCTTTTTCACGAAATAGTTTATCAATACCAATAACTACCGAGTGTTTATTATGTGTAAATGCACCTACAACACAGAAGAAAATCCTAGTGTGGGTCATCATAGCTTGTTAAATAAATCTTTACACTATTTTTTTTTCTTACAGATGTAGATTCAGATGATGACACAGGATCAGAAAAAGATGATTTAGAGCCAGACACTTATTATGACAACATAGAAATAAATGAAGAAGATGAGGAGGCACTCCAAATGTTCATGTCAGCCAAACCAGAGAGAACACGGACTCTGGCTGACATAATCAAGGAGAAGATCACTGAAAAAAATACTGAATTACAAACTCAATTCTCAGATGTAGAGACACTAAAGTTACAGAATATTGATCCAAGGTAAGTTTATTTTATACTTACACCTTTGTCCCATTGGAAAGGCCAGATCCTTGCATATTTCTTTGTTTTCCATTAGATCCATGAAGCTGGTTGTACAAGCACAAGTTTGTTATATTACTCTAAAAAAATAATTAAAATCAGTAACACAGTTTATAAATAATATTTTTCATCATATTTTGAACTGTTTTGACTTCCATCAATCATGTCATTTCTAGGATAAAAACAATGTATGAAGGAGTCCGAGATGTATTACAAAAGTATAGATCGGGTAAACTGCCAAAAGCATTCAAAATGGTGCCACACTTGCAGAATTGGGAACAAATTCTGTACATTACAGAGCCAACTTCTTGGTCTGCTGCAGCTATGTATCAGGTACGTTATAAGGTTTTAGTTAGACCAATAAGTGTGTGAGTTAACTTGTATTGAACAATCAATGATCATTGTGTCAGGAGCTTTATCTTATTTTACAATAGTAAACTGAAATTTGTTTTCTCTCTTCTAGGCTACTAGAATTTTCGCGTCCAATTTAAAAGAGAAAATGGCACAACGGTTCTACAATCTAGTTCTACTGCCTCGTGTTCGGGATGATCTGGCAGAGTACAAAAGATTGAACTTTCATTTATACCAAGCTTTGAGAAAAGCATTGTTTAAGCCTGGTGCTTTTATGAAGGGTATTTTGTTGCCATTATTGGAGGTAAATCAATTATATTATTATTTTATTATGTACTATTTCTATAATTCTATATATTTTTATAACATAACATAACATCACGCCTTTTTATACCCGAAGGGGTAGGCAGAGGTGCACATTACGGCACTTAATGCCACTGTACAATGTAACACCCACTTTTCACTATTTATGTCATGAGTCCCATGTAATAGGGGGTGAGCCTATTGCCATATACCGGGCACAATTCCAGACTCCGTGCTACCACTGAGATTTTTGAAAAATCCCAGTAATACTTTGCCCGACCCGGGAATCGAACTCGAGACCCCTTGCCCGGCAGTCGCACTTGCGACCACTCGGCCAACGAGGCAGTCTATATATTTTTATTCAATGTTATAATACAAATTTAGTATATCTGAGAGTCTTATGTTTTTAAGCCTTGTGGTAATAATTGTTTGTATTCATATTGTCAGGCCGGTGATTGCACACTCCGTGAAGCCATAATTGTAGGATCAGTACTAGCTCGTAACTCAGTGCCAGTATTGCATTCTAGTGCAGCTATGTTAAAGATAGCCGAGATGGATTACACTGGAGCAAACTCTATATTTTTAAGAATACTCTTTGATAAAAAGTATGCTTTACCATACAGAGTAGTGGATGCAGTTGTTTTCCACTTCATCAGGTAAGAATATTGCTGTATTTTTTCCACTTACAAAAATTTTTTACTAAAATAGTTTTATTAACTAAAAATCGCGGGTTACTCACGTGAATATACTGAGAAAAGCTCCAGTTTTGAACCACAGAGGGGTTCCTCATGAGTAGTAGCACCTCAGTCGCGACCGTGCACGCTGCTCATGAGGAAGAATTCCTTTCTGGTTCGAAATTAGTGGAGCTTTTCTCAGTATATTCACGTGAGTAACACGCGATTTTTGGTTAATTTAGAATGTCTCACGATAGTTATAATAAAATAGTTTTATTTCCCAAAATACGTTTTATGCTTTCGTTTCCTTACTTCATTCGGAAAATTTATACAGCTCATACCCTTTCTAGATTCCAGAGTGATCATCGTAACTTGCCTGTGCTATGGCATCAGGCGTTGTTGACATTTGTTCAGCGTTACAAGGCAGACATTTCAACAGAACAGCGAGATGCTCTCTTGGAATTATTGAGAAAGCAATCCCATCCGACAATCACACCAGAGGTATAATGATTGTTGCTTTTATTGTTATAATACACTTATATTCGTTAAAAAATTTTGCAATAAAATCAAAGAATCTCAATATTAACACTCACTTCTAACAGTTATATTATCATGAAACTTGGCAATTATAATAAATTATGGACTAAATGACCATAGAATATATTTGTATCATAGAGCAAGTCTTGAAATATGAAGGTAACTGATGGAATCTAGGGCTACTTATAAGTAAATGTATTGATGTGTTTATCACAGCTGCTGATGAGAATATGTGGTTATAAGAATCTTTAAAACTTTTTAACTTAGAATTTTTTTCTACAACTTGTAAGGTTCTAATAATCATTTTATTTCAGATACGACGAGAACTACAAGCTGCAAAATGCAGAGATGTCGAAGGTGCAATGGTTGTTGAATAAGGTGTAATTTTTATTTTTATTCAAATAATTGGATAGTGGTATGCATTGATCATATCTCATTGTGTATATTGTATTGTGTTAAATATTGTTATAAATAAATAAACAAAGCTTTATTTGTAAACTATTTCTTTTATTACCTTAAATAATTAAAGTATTACCCTTATATATAAATGTGTAATTTTAGGTAATAATAGGTCTTTACTCACATTTTGTTTATTGGTTAATCAACAGCTACAATATTCAAATTTAACAAACAATTACAACAATAATATTGGACAACTTACAATATTATACAAACATATATTATATTTGAAAGAAATATAAAATTAAATACCTAAGTATCTAGGTACCATAAAGCTGAAAAAACTTATTTACAGTGCATCGAAAAAGTACCCTGTATAAAAGTCAATAGTGACCAGAACTAGGGCACTATTTGATTATGTAAATTTACCCGTTGATATTCATCCCCTAAATTTGGTCATACAAAAGTATTCTCTAAACATTAGAAATAAGGTCTATAGTATAATGTAATATTAGTGGAAAGCGGTCACCGGTGACCGCTTGGGGATTTATGGGTTAAGTTACAATAGCAATTTTATAGGCCTATCAACTTGACTAGTGACTAAATGTATGGGTGGTAGTACTGACGCTTCACAGTCGCACTTTCTTCCCGTTATGTAGTCGAATCCGCCGATCCTATTGTTACACTTTTGACAGTTTAGTTTTCCTTTAGTCCAGTCTTCACTCTCTATTTTATTTTTAATCCAATCGGGAACTTTTTCTTCATTGATGTAAATAAATCTTCTGATATCATAACTTGCACATGTCTTTGAATCACATTTATCAGTACCGTCTAGTATGCATGTATCATCGAATAATATGTTGCGGCATTTATGGCATTTCACTACTTGTGAACTCATATTTCATGCTTTAATTAATATTGTTATTTAAGATTATTTTTATTGATTAAACAATAGACAAAGAAATCAAAATACTGCATGAGCTCGCTTTTCGCTCTATAATAGGTATTTACCGGCCTGACATCTGACAATTCTGACATTGACAAGAATTGACGTATTTCATTGACAATTGACATTGACAGTTAACATTAGTAGCGTTACCGAGAATAAATATTACAATTTAAATTCCCATTCACCATCCTACACGATTAACCTGCACAAATCGGCACAATGTCATGTAATACTTACTAACTTTTTCTTGGATGTTTAGTGTTATGATAATTTGTGTGTTTGTAAAAACACACACAATACAGGAGAAAATTTTATTGTAAAGCAATGTTCAACAAAAACTTTCTTCAACTACTAGATACTGATATACTGACTGATAAATAGAATTATTCATTTGGGAGTAGCATTGTATTGCGCCTGGGCTTGGATTTATCCGTCGATCCTTCCGGCAAGTCGGATCCCATTGCTTTTAATACTTTCAACAATCATTGCCACGGAAATTGTCTCACATGTATATGAAACCAATTTTAGATGGAGGTCGAAGTTAATATTAAAAAAACTTCGTTATTTAATTCAGTAAAACATACTATTATAATTTAACTGTAGTATTTACTAAACTGGTCAAGGGTCAACTACTAAAATATAAGTGGTAATCAATAAAGCGCCTTGGCCAACTACTAATTTATTGGAAATCCATTGTCTCCATGTGTTATCCATTTGTAGGAAATTGACCTAATAGTGATAAATTCATAAAAATATAGTACTTACTACTAAATGATTGTGATCTATGTAATAAAATTCGCACCTATAGGTCAACTACTGGTGCGTCGACTCCAAGGATGTTGAAAATAAAGGCGGACATACTTTCTTGAAACAATGACTGTGGCACTTGGCAACTATAGACTTACACACAGAATATACACATTGACACGAAGGACATCTGTCGCTTGACATGGCCTGTCATTGTTACACTTTATACATTACGGTGTTGGAATGCAAGTACACGCACACATAAATTCATCACTGACATTTTGGTGCTTCAATCATTTCTAAGTACATCGCGTCGCGTTTCGCGAGCGCCTCAAATAGCCATCAGACCACCACAGATGGCGCCACCATACCACAGGGGCTCCGGCTTGAAGTACAGGAGTAGGAACGGGGTGGTTCTTAGTCAGTATGACTGTAAGAGTCTGACTCTCCTTCTCGCCTCACTCAGGTGGGAGAAGTCATTTCATGATTTTCCCCACACAAAAAACAGTGTGACAGTAAGAAAAAGGTTACCAGAAAATAAAACAATAGGTCGCATGTGCGTGATATTTTATTCCACTGAACTTATTCCACGAGAATTTTGCGCTGTTCAATGAATGCAAACTTTTGATTAACTATGTGACTAATGTGCTCTGTTTATAATGCTCTAAGTACGTACACGTAAGTATTTAACATGTACTGTTTACGCATATTATTATAACAATAATGAACAAACGTTCAATAATTTGTATAAAAAGTATACCTAAAGCAAAAATTTGTGGCTTATAAATTAACTGTCATAATATCTTTCCAGTCAGTGCTTAGAATAACGTAGATGTAAATAAAATATTGATCGTTGTCACTATCATTATTGGGTGCACAAAATAAATAATTTGCTGTAGGAGCGAACTTTCTTAAAACAATATTTCCTGTTAATATTATTATCTATATACACTGAACAGTAGTTATTAGATAAGTAGTATAAAAATGGAATATGCACTAGCTGGGCAAGCTAAAAATCTTGGTATTTATTTAGAACTGTAGGTATTTAAACATTTATTACCATTGTTTATTACAACCTATTTTATTGGAATGCTGCAATAGATGCATTAAAGGATCTTCAAATAAAATATTTTGATATAGAAGCGCGATGGAAACCTATAGGTACGAGAGTTACTTGCGATTCAAAATAAAAATATGTCTACTTATGTTTTAACGTTTATAATAATTATTGCCTAAACCCACACGTATTTGCTTAAATGAGGAAATACTTTAATTCCAATAGTCTGTAATTAATTAATTATGCATGTAGGCAAATACACTGATTGTGCTGATTTCATTAGAACGATTTTTATGAATGCCCAGATTATTGATAGAACTAATGATAGGATGTAATCGTGTTACATCAAATTATAAATAATACAGTTAGCACACTTTACCAGTAGTTTACATGCGGTTCATTTACACTCCATTGTTTTAATCAGAGTCATAAAAGAAATTAAAGTATCTAGGTTTGCAAACAATATCAAACTCTTTGCTGTATTACAGTTTCATAGGACAAATTGCCATATATGTCGAACACGACCATATCACTATAACGGCAGACTCACGTAATTATAGGCTTTACCTTACTACCTACGCATTATTGTTAAACCAAACAGTTCACACATTTCCAATACAGCAAAGACTCAACTCGTTGAGTCGACTCGGCTGACACGCAACATGCTTTACAACAATGTTTTGTCAATAACAGAACTTCTTCATAACATAATTAAATGTACACTTTTCATATAATTAGTGAGATATTTAATAACAATAAGATATCTGAAAGTTTAGGAGATATTATACACGTGTCCCTATTTGTATTTACCCATACATTCTGTTATGCTTTTTAACACGTCTGCTATAAGTAGACATATAAAGATAAATATGAAGGCAAGGGAACTTTATTGTCGAGGTTTTCGCGTATAAAAAATTAAGTAAAATGTATTTATATGTTTAGATATTTTTGAGATATATCGATTTATGCTAAGCTCAGGCTTTGTGCTCATGCAATTAATAAGAGTTAATATTAATGCATTACACGTTATTTTGTGTAAAACATACGTCGATACGTACAATTTAGGTATTAGGTACCTACAATAAATGGTTGTCATGGAATATCAAGCATATCAAGTTCTATAATTTGACATGAATATGGTATGATTATTATAAAACTATAAAGGGCTCTACGTAATGTAAAGAGGTATATAACATATTGATCAAATTTCGTGGGGATTGTCCCTGCCTATCTATAGACAGAGAGTAGAGACTATTCCTATGATGTTTGAGGCAGCAACGAATGTTAGAGTACAAGCACACAGAATGTATAAAGTAATACGGTAGCATTCAAAATAATTATACGTGCGCTTAATTTTTTCAGCTTAACAATATAAAATTTTGATCACAGACAAAATTACATAATACAATGCACGCGTTAACTTTGCGCTTATGTTCATGAAATATAAAATACTTAACTTATCGTTACAATATTCTAATATAATTGTGAGATTATTCAAAGCTGAAACAACCAGTTTTCTGTGTCTAAAATATTTCAAGGCAACAATTTTTAAATGATTAAGCGAACATCTTTTCGCAAGGTGACCACTTAACACTACACTTACAGCTATAATTCTGAAGGGCGTCTCAGCTAAAACCTCGGCACCTACATGCTATTTTATACAATTCATTATTATTACGTATAGTCACAGAATAAATTATAAATAGCATTGGTACAGCACGGCTCCAAATTGCTTTTATTGACAAGTTGAGACCCTTCTCAGCGGGGAAGGTGCCGATGATTTTGGTGTCTGTTGTCGGCACTGTGAGTGCTATGGAATATGTAGTAAATAGTATCTAGTGTCTGAAAAACCTTGAAATTTAAAGTCAGTTCTGTGTAGGTTTCACAAAGTTGTAAATAATGCATTTAGGTAATAATGATACGGAAGCGCATGGGGACGACAATGACAAAATGTACGAAGAAGTGAGAACCCTTGCGTACAATATGCCTTGAAACGGACTACTACAAGTTCATAATTTAACAATAGTAGGCCTTTAGATGGTAAAACCAGTACGTACCGTAGTGCTCATAAGATTGATATATACCTTAAGCTCTAACCTACGCATATGTCAAGTAAGTTGAATCAGCAACAAGTCGTCAGAAATGTGATAGAGATATCTATGTACGTCGCAGAAAATGATCAAGTAGACTAAAGAAGGGTACGTGAGATGTCGGTGCACGTGTGTCGGCAAACATACTAAGCTTTCGAAACTCTACGTTTAATCAACATTAATATAGACAGTAGATACCTACGTTAACATTATAGATGGTAATTAATCATTATATTAGTATAAGTATTAGTTATCTAGGATCTTAAGTTATTATGACTTATGAACCAAATTACACCCTGTGCTTAAGCGCTATTAGTCAAACTTCTAAATCATTTTAGCGTGTTTATAATGTACACATGTGATGGTTCTAACAAGGTATAGATGACGCTGGAGGGGCCCTAGCTCATAAACACAATACAAATTAAACACAAATTGTGAATAGCGTGCAATCGTGCACGTTGAAAAGTTTTTCATGAGATGTATTATCAAGAGATGTGTTTAGGGCAATGGACATTGACGAGCATGTAAATATTATTCGTTGTTACTTGTATTTAATACTTTATTATAACAGATATTTTTCCATCGAGTCGTCACCTGTTGGTGAGATTTAAACAGTTTTGTAAGTTTATAACAATGTTTTGTATTGTGTCAGTTGTTATCAAATTACATTATAATCTCATTCTATTTTCGTGTTATAACCTTCGTGGTACATATTAAATTAACTAATTATGTTTAACGGCTTACTTACATAACTGTTTGGTGAGATTACTTGACTAGTAGATAAGTTTTTATTGGATATGAGCCCCTAGCGTGGCTTGAAACTAGTCGAGTTGTATTGTCAAAGAATTTCGAGAGTAGGCCGTTAAACATAAAAATAATTAAATGATGCGGTAAATTTTAGTGCTTATTGTAATAAATTCAGTGGTTTTATTAATTTGTTGTACTGTTAAAATACAGTGAAATAACCGAAATAAACAGTACGTAAATAAGGTAACAAACAAATTAGCCTGAAGCCTGAACATTTGAATTATTTATATTGATTTTTATTATAACTTCGACGTTTCCTTCCGCCACGAGTCATTGTCGCGTTGTTTGTCGTTCGTGATGATGTTAGCGATGAAACCTACGTACTCTTGTTAATGGACTTGTATTTTATTTCACTAATGGTGATATTTTAACGGTCATTTATTTTTAATATATAATGGTACATCTTTTATTGATAACTAACGCCCGAATACTGAAAGGCTACTCAATTATAAGTAAGTACTTAAATGTCGTGCCATCTCTGTCATTTTACGAAGAATTTGTAGCGACAGAACTACTCTTAAGCGCTTCTTAAAACTGAGTGGCGTTTGAGTATTTGAACTTTGAATTTAAAGACATTCAGGCAAATTGTAACGCTATTACTACTAAAGCAAAGAACAATGCTTAAATGTAGATCTAGAATACTCGGCATACAATGATGATAATTTAAAGCAAAGCTATTAATTTTGATAAACTAGATAGATTGAAGAATAAGTATAACATTTGGGAATTGACCAATTTACAAACCTAAGTCTACATATCTAACTATTTACATTACATCACCAACTACGCGCGGAAAAACAATTTATTTAATTCATGTGCGATATTCTATGTTATTATTTTTAATCTAATGGGTCATTGTCATATAAACGTCTGAATAATTCTACAACTTTATGATAAATGTTTATAAATTAAAGCTGTTATTATAAATGGTTTGTTAACTGTTTCACGGCGTCTGACATCGCACATCGCGTGTCTCTATAATTTAGTATAACATAGTAATACAACGATTTAGAGTTTTTATAATTCTTTTTTTAAGCAACCTTGTTGATTTGGCAGTTTTAATTTCAAAATAAGTTCTCTAGCACTTGTTCCAATTTGTAGCTGGTTTCGTATTACTATCTCGTGTTGAAGATATTTGTTGAGTGGTTGAACATGTGAGCCAATTAGTATCGTGTACAGGTAGCAGGCAGACTTATATTAAAATTAAGTATTAAAAATAAGTACAATATTCGACAAATAGCGCTTGTCTTACATAAATAAACAGTAAGGAAAACATGCTTCAAAGAGAAAGTGTAGTAAGATTTAAGTAAATATTGCAAAGAGGTATAGCTAGTGTCGTTGCTGTCATCTACAAAGACAATCAGAGAGCAGAATCTGAAATAGTCGTAAGTGTAAAAATTGTAGTGCTGTTATAAATAAGGAATAACTAGTTTAACATTAATTGACCGGTATTTGATACATAAACAACACTTCAATAATCACAAACATTGCTAACAGGAATAACTGTGTTTAGCAGAACTTGCAGACGAATTGAAGGACAGTAGTAGAGTAGAATACGTATAAATGTAGGTTGCAATGATGGAACGATATGGCGCAGAATGATATGATGATCACGTCAAAGATTAAGTATAGTCGAGAGTCCTAAGTGCGGCGACAAACTGTAGCCTTATCTGGTTATACTGTACACCTAACATTTGATGTTATTAGCCACTTACGTTATAATCACGATGTACCTTAACATATGGTGGGCTTTATTATTGCTTATAATGATATATTGGCGAAATCACTTACTCCGTAACTAGGATACACATTACAACATAAAGTTACTTTGAGCCACAATTATAGTAATCACATAAATTAAACAGAGAAACGAGACAAGGGTTGTAATATTATGGATGAGTACCAACGCAGTGCTCGGAACCACTCGTCGTCTGATTGCGAAGTATCGTACATAGTTTAATAGACGAACACAAGCGACCGAAACGGTTTGATAAATGTTTATGTAGTTATGTATCATTGAAGACAATGCGGTAATTAATGTGCATACTTGTGTTGAGTGAAATCTCAGAAACGCACTTCCACAAGGAGCAGTTCATGTAGTTCGTAGTAGTGTTACACATTACCTAGCTACTATGTAAAGGCAAGGAGCAAGGACGGGTAGAAAGCGTTATCGTTAGGTACTCGCTTCTGGAAATACAGTTCACGGTATTACGTAGTCTCTCAGTCTTATAAGCCTCATTCTGAATTAGCTGAAGTCTAGAATAGAATAATTACGTAGATACATTAATAAGTCAATTTGGATAATACATTTGGATTCGTTAACTTAAACACATTCACCGGAAGGGTTGATGAACGATACGGTCAGATAGTGCTATTGTACACATACCCATACGTAATACATCATGTAAAAATTTACTTCTCTTAAAAGCCTGTAAATTACATACATAAAATTAAAGCACCCAATATATCCACCACTTATTGCATTTCTAACCACTCGTGTACGCGTACACTACCATAACATCTGAAACGGCTTCGTGTCCATTCCTCGAATTAGCCGAATTTGGCTCGCTGGACATTCTTAAGTTTTACTAAAGCGAACATTAATGAAATTTATTACAAATGGACTCGGCACGGGCGGGAGAGGCCACCCGCTCGCGAGATCGCGAGGACGTGTTTATTTAGGCGTTAACGGAAGTACAAAATTGGTCCATGCGTCGGGTGAGGGCCGCGTCAGAGGAAGCCCCGGACGTCGTCGTGCCGACAGCGCGCAATGCGCCGGCAGAAGTGGAAGCGCGCGCGCGGCAGGGACGGGCGCGTGCCGCCGGGCGCGGGCGCCTCCCCGCCCGCCAGCGAGCCCGCCAGCGAACCGCACGACGCTGACTCGGCGAGCGAGCGCGTCGACGGCCGGGAGCGGGGGGCGCTCGTCTCGCCCGCCTCACACTACCTGTAGAACGAGTGCGAGTGCGGCGGCGGCGGCAACGCGGGCGGCAACGGCGCGTGCGGCTCCGATGCCGACCGCTGCACACCCGGCGTGCGATCACCACGCTCGCTGCGCCCGTACCGCCCGCCGCGCTCACGCTCTCGCTCCCCGTTCCAGTTCCACTCCCACTGTATAGTCACAAAGTATAATAGAGATATTTTCAGTAGTGTAACTGCTGGGTGGCAAGTCGGAAAATTGCCTCAGGCTCTCCGCTGCTCCACAGCTGGAAGACTAAACTAAAACCTCTGAACGGGGCCCGTTCAGAGGTTTTGTCTGAACTTCTCTGCTGTTTATTGGGCCAATGGATATACTTCTTAATTTGCTTTTTAAGTAATTGAAAGTTGGTGATAATATTTACCTCGTTCGTTTGAGGTACCGAGAGAGACGCCTTTGGTAACACCGTGGAAGGAGTGTGAGCCGGTTGCGCGTTATGGTGTGCAGTGCCTTCGCGTGCCTGCAGTAACTGCAGGATACGTCGTACATCTGCGGTGAGCCCAGACTCCAACACGGCTACACGACGACTTAACTCTTCCAGTCTTGTAAGTACAGTTGCTACTGACGCTGCCGTCGCAGCAGATCCAACATTTTGATACTGTGGCGACATACTTTCCTGCAAAAAATTCACCAATAAAAACTATTTATTTACTTAAGAAAATACAATTAATTTTATGAAAAAATGAGAATAAACTGGTAACTAATGTAACCGGTAATTTAATACGCGGTGTCAATTCCCTATCCTTAGCGCCGCCATTGTGTAATATGTATATTTAATAACATAAGTAATAAGTATGCATATCAGACAAACATAAACATCTACGTATAGAACTGTACCTCTAAATTAGCTAGCATAGATCGTATAAAGACTAATAAAGACTATGCGAACTTAGATTTTATAACGAACCTGTGCGTTTGCAGCATTTTGTGCTTTGTCTTGGGACAGAGCGAGGGCAGCTGGGCGGCCGCCGTTGCAGGTAGGCTGGTGCAGGTTGACGGCGGAGTGTGGCGCGGAGCGGCAAGAGGGAGTACGCGCAGCGGCGGGCGCGCTGGGCGCCAGAATGTCGTCACAGGAAACGTGCTGGTGCGCAGGCGCGGCGGGTGGTGACGGGGACGCATTCGTGTAGTACGAGCTGGGGTTGGTGCTGAGACTGGACACGGGAAGCGTAGCGCTGTGTGCCGGCGTGCTCACGGCCGGCTCGCCCGCCGCCGCGCACCCCGTCAACGGTGACGTATCGTTCAGCGGCCCCACTGACGACTGGCGACGCACTCCCGCTCGACTTCTATACGTTTGAGGCGTAGATTGCGCTGGAAATTATGCATGTGTATAGTAATTTATATTAGTCCGGGACTGGTTAGGGATACATTTACGTCATTCAGCGTGTATTATCAATTGTATTATGGTAGCAAGACTATTGCTATTTTTGCTTCGTAAATGGTTTATAAATATTGTAATGTATCTGGAGCTGCTAATATCTATCGTAATGATAAATATATTAGTATGTATCCTAAAAAAGTGTTGGTAAGCATCTCATTTCATTGTAATATATACACATAATTACTAAAATTTTGATGAAAATTCCGGTCAAAAGCTTCGTGTCGGCACTATAACAGATGATTTATATATGGAAACCATTAAACCGGTAAATCTGATGACACGGTATTGTATAAACATTTCAGATGTCAGTTGCTGATCATGCACTACAAAGTAGTATAATATGCATACTTACAGTATTTGTTGTGCAGTGGCTGATGTGTTTTATGATGGTAGAGGTCTGGGAAGCTCCGTTTAAGTTGCGCTAGCATGCCTGCACACAAGGGCCGCGCTCAGAGCGGGGCGGGCGGTACCGGGGGTGCGGGGTGCGGGGTGCGCGGAGCCGCCGCGGGCGGGAGTTAGTGCTCCGCGGCGGTCCCGTGGCCACTGCCGGCAGTGCCACTACTGACCCACCAATATATAGCCACACCGCATCCCCTCCCACGTCACCAGTATATAGGAATATAAATAAACAAGGAAACAAGCGTAACACATGCTGCCCTAAATGAAATTAAATTCAATTAGTAACTATAAATTTTGACAAATGTATTTTTTGTGTTTTTTAATGTTATGTCCAATTGAGTTCATTGCAATGATTTTTGTACAATTGAATAAATTTTGCAAAAAGTTGAAAATAAATTCAAGATACTGTGCTCGTATTTGATACAGGTACGACAAGACATGGAAACTTTTTGCAAAATATAAAAATTAATGATTAAAATTAAATTATTAAAATGTTAAGAGACAGAAATCAATTTCTTTAACGAAGAAAAAAATATTTGGTTTTCAAAACGGACGTTGAGGTATTACAGTAAGTATAGAAGATTGTCAAACATGGCGAAGGGAGATGCATATATCGGTCATCCATTTACTATGTGTAGGTCATCTAGTCTATGAATAGAGGAGGGTCTACCACAACATGCCACCCGTGATCTCTGTGACTTTATATTGAACTTTGCGCACGGGCGTCTGTGGTGTACGTTCATAATAATAAAGAAATAAAGGTACATTCCATTGGCATGTTGGTGGACTTACCGGTGATAGAGTTGAGAGTGGTTGACCGCTGTTTACTGAAGTTGAAGTTGAGCGGGGTGACGTCCTGGCCGGCCTTGTCCGCAGAGAACTCCAGGATGCCGCGGCTGGCCGGGGACTCCGTGTCGTCGTCACTGCATTGCGAGTCCTGCAAATATTTTGTAACACCTTAAATATGTAACCCAAGTACAAAATGATCGCAGATTATACACTTTTGTAACTAGAAATCGTTACTCACAACTTTTTCCGCGAACGTTTCTGTGTGCGGCCTTCGTGTAGTTCGTGCATATGCCTCCCGAAGCAAGCGTGCATCGCACGGGTTCTCATAGCGCATGCGACGCTTCGGCTCGATACCACCCAACTCTTCCTGTAAAAAAACCACCCCCGTACGATATAAGTATAATGCGACGCTTTAATAATAATAATTTAGTCAAAACCTGAACATTACAAAAATACAGGTGTAACTAGATAAGGATGTTACATGTCTAACCAATTAACAATTTGGATCTAATTCCATAATATAATAATACTTCAAACCTCAAAATATTATACTCTTTAACAAAATAAATTTTGTGTGCTACGAAATGTCTACGCAATCGTAGATGCTACGTGGAGATTCGTAGCGCGTAGTCTAGCTACGATGAATTGCTACGAAGTACTACGAAAACGCCTAATTAGTTATAGTTTGGTTATAGAATGCATTAAAACAGTGCAATGGTTACCCAAATTGGAGTATTTTAGCAAGTTACGTATATAAATTATAATATTAAGACGCGTTCTACTGACATCTCTCATATTGTATGTTATTTCGAGATTGTTGACGAAGGAGGAGCGGAACTCTGGGTAGAAGTCGAGCACGTCGAGCAGGTCGTCTCGGTGCACGCGGTGCAGGTCGCAGTAGGTGAGCGCGCGCACGCGGCAGTTGCTGCGCCCCACTGTGCCGTATATGCACGGGTTCTCGCCGAAAATGTCATCCTTACCTGAACAACATATAAGACATGCCAATATTCTTCAAGGCAGACTCGTATTATGTATAAGTAAGTCTGGCGACATTACATTCTATCTATGCATAAGTAAGCCTATTGCTATGTACTGTACAGAGTAAAAAACACATGCTTTCTATATATATAGATTCCAAAATCATTACACTAAAAATAGACAACACGGTTATTAGAATTACAGGCTTATAGTTCACGACTTACCTAATATAGCCATAACAATATCATCCTTCAGAATTTCTATAGACCCTCTTGATATAAAATACAGAGAAGTGAGAACATCTCCACGATGCACCAAGGTCTCACCAGGGGGCGCATGTGTCGTTTTAAACCTTAATGACAGGGCTCTGTAACCAATAGAGATTTATTTATCAAGTAGTGTGTATCGTAAGGACGTAATTTTAAAAGGCACTAACCACTCTAACGTCCGGGCCGCGCGACCGTTTATCTCTCTAACGTCCAGCTGCACGCGGCGTCCGAACCGCGCGCGACTCGCAAGTTCGTCGTAACAAAAAACCTATATAGCTACTGAACCGTAATGGCTAGAATAAAGAAAAAAATACTAAAAAAAAGATTGAAGAATACTGATCAATCTTAACGATTTTTTTAAATCGTAAGTTATAATCTTTGATACAAAAAACCGGGTTAAACATGTAATTCAGAAAAAAAATACACAATTATTTCTACCTTTTTAGAATATAAGGCACAACTATTGCATATTTTATCAATAAAATATTTTTACAACAAACTAGACTTATTACCCTTTCTTCTGATGTATATACGATTACATTCGGTTAACTCTAAGTATTTTAATTAAATCAAAACAAAACACTACTCCTCGTAATTTTACCGCGATGTCCCGAGCGCCCTTGACTCGTCCGAGAAGGCGAAATAATAGCAATATGGCCGCCCGTCTAAGGTTTCCCACACACGATGTAATTTTAATAAAATATTTTAAATAATTTTATGAATTAGTTTTATGCAATAATTGTATTTTTGAAGTTGTTTATTTGTTCTAGTTGGTTATTTAAATAAAAAGCAAATAAAAAAATCAATATATAATATAATAATTTATTCTTTCCACACATTTATATATGGTAAGCCATAAAACAATTTTCAATGCAGAGATTGACGTCGCATTGTAGACACTTCCATATGGTCACCGCGACCCCCACGTCCCCTGTTTCCCCCACGTCCCCTGTTTCCCCCACGTCCCCTAGTTCCCCCATTTCCCTCAACATAAAAGCTTTCATTTGGTGATCTGCATGAATAATTTAAAACATTAGTATTGTTAAAAGAATAAAATAAAATTTGGCGAAGCATTAAAATATATGCGACCATGCAACACGTGCAAGGGCAACAGTAAAAAAGAAAGGTAGTCAAATCCACAAGTGCATTTTTTTACATTTAGCGGAAATTAATCAACACGAACAAACATGTAATTAATGTTTCAAAACAAAAAAAAACCATTAGAACATTATACATATCCAACGGAAACCAAGCGAAAAATAAATGATGAATATTAGTACAAAACCCAAAAGTGCATTTTATATTAAATATTAGTATCATCTCAAGCAAAATATTATACCACCACTAGCAAAACAAAAATAATGCAAACATATTTTGCCGTGTATAGCGAACCTTATTTATCACGTTTCATGTAACGTCCGTGGATACCAAACAGTCCACATCAAAAAACCTGAGGAACACATTGACATTATTATGGAATCTTCAGTGAATTTAGTATATTTCTCTTTGAAAAATGTATTATTTTGCTTATTACGAAATGTATTTCGATATTTTATATACTATTGTAATGCAAAGTATGTAAAATATGTATAAACAAAACTAAAAGTGGCCGACACCATACGACCGGCCATTTTTTTCGAAACAACAATCGTTTGAAGTTAAAAGTAGACTAGATTTATCAACTAAAACTGTGATATTTATACATCATCGTAAAGCACAAATCTTCTAGTTTATTTTGATGTATAACACTTGCAAGATAAATAAAACAAAACTGTAGTACTTACGACATAATTGTTGGCACTCACAAAAACACTTCACAACAAGCGCGTCAAACGAGTCAACTGAACTTAAAAAATTATATTTTGTTTGTTAAAGCTTATTACACTGCCATCTCTATTTTTTTCGTCGACCTATTTATTCAACTGTATAGATAATCTGTCAAAACTCACCAAGCAAGACCGTATTTTAAACTAGAGGGCATTAAACACAACTCGTCGCTTTGGATACTATAGTATCCATGGGCGTATGACGCTACTTTTTTCTTGGATACCGTACTATCCACGGACGTCAGAGTGGCTAAAGAATTAAGATTTGTTTTCAGTGTAAATTAAATGTTGATAAACGGTGAACATGGACGGTGTGAAATTCAAGAAGAAGAAGTGAACTTTCAATGGTGTTTGCTTTCCATATGAAAACTAGGTCTAAACTAACCTGGGTGGTTTTTAGTCAGTAAGAGTCTGACACTCCCTCCCGCCTCACCCGGGCGGGAGAAGTCATTGGATGATTTTCCCCCTCAAAAAAAAAGGTCTAAACTAACCTTAAGCAACCTGGACTAGCACCATCAAAAGCTGAGCAATTTGCGAGCAAGTTCCTGTTAAGATGCAGACAGATGTCCGCTTGGAGGCACTCCGGGAAACCTTTGAGTAAGCTGGACGTATCAATACCGTTCGTGTAGCTCCAAGCGTGTTGGAAATATTCCTCCAGTCTTTGTCTTAAAGGGTTCGTTATCTACAAAAAGAAAATTGTTTTTATTAATATATTTGTGTACTGACGCTATGGTGGTGACAGTAGAGGCACTACTTTTATTCTTCTAGTGGGTCTTGTACTAAGGGCGGGACTATTTTTACAGTTCTTTGACAAATCTGAACTATTTAAATTATGATCTCCAGCCACATACCAAGCGCGAAGATTATGATACCCTCTTATAGGGTAGAAGGCTCATAGTTCAACAGGAAACTGTCACAGGTTATTTATGACGATAATAGTTGTTTGAGTATCGAACAGATATATTTTTTGTGGTCACCATCACTTGGTGTCAAATCAATGATTAAAGTTTGGTGATTGTAAATAGTCTACACAATATACAACTAGCTACTATGAATGGTGTAAACTGTAATAATATCTATATGATAAAGAAAGAATATTACTTGATTATTAAATTATATTCTGCAACTTATTCTAATAATAATTAACTCTTACCTGATGAAAACGAATAAATTCTCGTACTCTTAATATCTGTGTATGATAACGAGCCGTCCCCGAATATAATCTTTGTATAATAGCCGATACATTACCGAAGATACTGGCGTACATTAGTGCTGCAAGGAAACATCATTATGTGCTATTTTATTAGAGGAATTACCATATAGATACAGTGTAAAAATTACTTACAGCCAACCAGCATAACAAATATCGTGAATCCTTTCTCCATATCTGTGTTCGGCGCGACGTTCCCAAAACCAACGCTTGTTAGCGATGTGCACGTAAAATATAAAGCGGTTATATATCTAGATCTGAAAGACCAAATTACATATTAGTTATCAGTTCAGAATGTTGACAATGATATGCATTTATAGTTACAGTACCTCATGGATGGACCAGTGGAGTTGTCATAAGAAGCTTGGACATCATTGGCGAGAGCATCCAGCCATCCTATCGGAGCGTGGAGCTGAGGGCGTTCCCAACTGCCTATAGCATACCTGTGTTAGAAGACAAACATTTAAATAACTTATTAGATTCATATATCAATACCTATACTATATTATTGACAAAAACTTTGATTTTTGTATTAATGTGAAATGTATTTCAATTTAACAACTCTGTGTAATTTGACTATTTTTATAAATATATAGCTTGGATACAGTTTCGCCTCATATAACAGGTACAACTCACCATAAGCAGGCCAACCAATGAGCAATAAGGACAAATGTGGCCATAAGAAGAAGCAGTACGGCGGTGCCATATTCGGAGTATCTGTCAATTTTGCGAGCGACGCGCACGAGCCGCAGCAGTCGCGCCGTCTTCAGCAGACCGATGAGGGTCGTGGTCTGCAAGCACCACAACCACAGCTCAGAACGTTCCATCAGCCGCTGGTGCAACGCAACTTAGCCGCAAACCCAACTCAAGCGTTATATGAATCGTTCGCTTAAAACTAAATAGCATCAACGAGGCCTCGCAGCGAAAACCACGCTAACTAAGCAAAACTGGCCTATGAATGCTGCCCAGCTCAAACTTAGACATAATATGTATGTAGTTTGCAGAATTAAAAGCGATTATTTTAAAACTATAAAATTAGCTGGCTTCGTACATAATGCGGTGCATAATACTGTCTGATAACTGTTATCACTTCGCTGCCATTACATAGTCCCGCTATTGTGACCGAGCACAGTTCCTATACGACCGTGCGCTCCAACGTGAATGTATAATGGTCGTGTGAATTTAAGTTCTAAGCGAATACAGTAATTAGAAATATGTACAAAGATCTGTTACTTTCATACAACTCGGTGCATTTGAAAAACTCTTGGCAAATATCCGATTTTATAATTATGTGGACTTACCTAAAATTATCAACATTTTCAATGGTGAATGATTAGATATCACTTTTGGTAAGGTATTGATCGAATCATGGCCTAATTGGTTTTCTAATTACATAGTGTTATTTATAATTAAAAATTTAAATAATTTGTTAGAGGTACATTAAAAAGTGTTTTAAAATTTAGAATAAAATAATATTAATCATTCAAAGCTTCTGATTGGAGGCTAGATAATAAAGGGCACACAAACGGATTTAATTAAAATATAAATTTGTATATAATTGTAAGATTCACACGTGAGGTATTTGTGCTGTTTATATCATGGGAAGCATTGCCTGTGAAGTTGATGTTCTCTGTCGATGGATTACGTTCGATGACTCAAACTATAAAGTTTTGAAACGTACCGCCCATCGCTCATGGGTTCTCAGTTTGAACCGTACACTGCGACTAGTTTAATTTTATTTAGTTTGGATTTGGAATAAAGGAAAAAAACAAAAATAAATAAAATCGTTTCAAAACAATTTATTTTAATTTAAAAATAAAATAAGTAATCCTTATGTATGTAAAAAATAAATAACAATGTAGATGACCATTAAAACCAATTAGTAAATTTTAACAAACACAAATAACGATGAGTAAACAAATGAAAGTGGGTACAGATCAGTGGCGGATACAGTATCGTAGGTACATCAATATATTGTTTGATGTAAGGTGGGTGCTTCAGTATTATGTAAGTTTGGGACTGACACTATTACTTGGTGCTCTTTGTCGTGAATTAGGCGATTTATTGATCGGTACATTAAGTCTGGGAAGTGTGAGCGTAATTGCTACCAAGCTCTGTGCATATCGTGACTCTTTGTACGTATACTTTTACTAAGAAAAGCCAATGAAAAATGTTCCACCGATGTATTCTCGCGATGAAATCATATTCTCATGGAAACTTATTATCTCATTTCCAACATCTAGTTCCTACTCGATACCCTCTAATGTATCGGTCGTTCCTCGCTATTGTAGTGGGTCTATTCAGTGGTACATACTAAGACAAGTCCTCAACTAGGTCAATAAATATGCAAGTATTATATCATTACCAAACTAATTAATACGTTACTTGTATGTGCTAATAAAGCTTAAAAATTATGCTCAAATATAAATAAATGATGAACCATTTTTATTAGTTCCCAAATGCATCTAATTCCACTTTTGTACGTGGATCGTTATCATTATGTAATACTAGTCAGAATTATTTCTGAGACTTTCAGATGTTACTCGTTTTATGATTGAGCAAAAAATGCTAGGCAGAGCGATGTTCTGATCGGATCTAGCCATGTTGGTAGTCGGAGACCTGCGGCGCGGCGCGGGCGCGGGCTGCAAGCTCGTGATACAACTAGTGAGCTTCGGTACATGTCGGGAACAGTGTTATGTACGACTTGAATGATTGACATTTTGCTCATGGGAAGCGTCCATATCTTCCATTAACGCATTCATTTAGTGGATTCAAAATGGCTAGTGGAAATTAATGAATAAAATATGTCAACTAAAAATATAATAAAATTGAGTGGCAGCAACATAAAAATAGTTCACAAAGATGGTATACCTCATCACTTTCCAGCCCCTGCTGTAACAAGAAATGGTATTACAAATTCAATACGCACCCACCTTCGGGCATTCTCCACAACGTGACTATTGACAAATGATAAAATAAATCACGACTCTTACTAATCGTAAACAAAATCAAGAGGTAATAATAAGTAGTTGTCTTAAATCAAAATAAAATCACAAATCAACTTTGCTTACGAACAAAACATATTGGATGATATGATTTTAGTCGGTTTTACAGTTTGGTTGTTTTAAAATAATTGACAATAAATAGCTAATTGATTCAAATATAAAGTGGGATCTTTGAATGATCGGCTGTGGTAACCTAGTCGAGAGTGACACTTGCATTGACTGCATTCCACAACTACGTGACTCGCTATAAAATAACCAGAACTTCATTTGTCCGAAAGAACCGTACATCCCGAACGAGACAGTGTCAAACTGATCAAATACTCTATACGTACTAATTGTATCGTCTTGAAATGTTTATCGAGCAACCCTAACTTGACCTAGTTCGCTTTCATATACTTATGACCTATTTTACCCTTCACAATGCGGAATGTATCGTGCTTCGCCACCCTAATCTTGTTGTACTGTATGGCCTCCACTATGACCACTGCGTTATTTATATTAGAGTTTAACTGTATCCATATTTTGTGCTCTCTTAACGTATAAAGTTCGGGATTCCAAGAGCTGACACCGTTTCGGACAACTGATCGTCTGGATATCCTCCGTGAAATGCAAACTTACTATGTTCACGCTCCAAAAACGATTTGAATCGATTCTCGATGTTTGGCGAGTGAACCGGGTATGCGACTAGCCATACCAGTTTGCGAATCACGGCAAGGCCGTTGGTGTTTTTGTCTTCTAGTCAGCCATTCCTTTTTGTTATCTAATTCTAAATTTAAGTTTGTGTAGGTCGTATGTGAGATGAAACCAAATGTGGTGTATGTAGGTAAAGCAGCTCACTTCGTCGGTGTCGGTGCCGAAGAGTAGGAGATCGAACGGGATGGCGGCGACGAGGTCAATGAGGAACCAGCCTCGCAGGTAGTGCATGGCGATCTTGGCGGGGTCCGACTCCACTTCATCCGCCACGTTAACGTACGTTGTGCGGAAGTTGATTAATATGTCTATTATGAAAGTGACGTCCACTGCAAACAAAATAAATTCAATTAAATGAAATTCTTCATGTATTATTTGTAGGGAATGCGTATGAATAAATGCTTCTTTTCTATACCGTTGAACATGAAGGTAGGTACAGAGTTCAGTGTCAGTTTTGTATAGCTATATTGGTTAGGAGATTCTTTCAACAATTGCTTTACTCACAGTTACAGAGATGATCATTACCTATCATATCGATGACAACTATGGGGTCTTCGCCGAAGCTGCGGGAACGTTTATCAAAGTCGGGCTCATTTAGTTGAAAGGCGGCCACGTACGGAGTAAATATCGCCGTGTAGATCACCAATATTAGGATCAACCAATCCCAAGCGGCCTGTAATACAAGTCAGTGCAGCGATCAATTTAAATATTTTACAACAAACTATTTGGAAGTGTAGCGCGTTGCGTGCCGGCTGGCGCGGGTTGTGGAGCGAGGTCAATGCGACGAATATAATTTACACTTTTCTTATGTGCAAACTACAATACGAACTATATAATACTACATAATAGGTATTTAGTAATTATGGAGTAGTTATATGGAAGGAAAGAATGATTTATCGTTGTCATTAACATTTGGAATAGGTACCTAGAATTAGAATTAGTATAAGAATGTGATTACGTATGGTATGGTTTTACCTTGTAAGGAGAATGGTGGAGGATAGTGCAGGGGTGAGAAGGCTGCGTGGTTCCCTTGTGGCCACCCGTCGCACCCAGAGACAGTACCTGCGAACAATGATGTCACTATTGTTTACGTGGGCCTGCAGGCTCGGCACTCATCTACTGTGGTATGCGGCTATGTTACGGCGCACGCATTCTTCTCTTGTTCACGACAGTACGTGGGTATTTGTAATATGATCAGCTTTTATTTCCCTGTTCCTCTAGTAAATTAAATCGTTCCGTCTGTTTATCAAATATAAATAAAAACAAAATTAAATAGTTTAATTATGCTTACAAAAATATCGTTAAAAAGCCTTCTTAGGAATTTAAAAATAAGTTTTTATTTATTATTTTTCCATTTCGTTAACGTGATTTGTTTTCGGTTGGAACTATATTAATATCGTAACTAAAATACTAGAACAATACTTATACATATTTTAATACTTTTTCTTTTTTTTAAGTTATAACTACTAAAACAGCCGCTACGTAATAATCACTACAAAGTTTGAGTATGTTCAAGTCAAGTAAGATGCATCAAAACGTTAGCGGAGGCATTCCCGATGGACAGAAACAATTCATTCTCAAAAGCCAAGATTGTAATTATATGAAACGTAATGAATGAAGTATTCGTGTATGTTCTATGTACGAGATGTATGCGTAATCGCAGATTAGTGATTATCGTGCTTGTCGTAAGTATTCGAGTTTGTTGTTTAAGATGTTACATGAAGCATTTTAGGAACAAATGTTATGGATCTCTTAATCTCGACAGTTCCTATTCTAAATTATATAAAAAAGTAACAAACTGTCATAATTATGTAATATTTCAATATAATTGGATATGAAAGAATAATAACGTATCGGGATCAGTCCAGTACGCGCGTAGAGTGCGTGTAGAGGCCGCAGGAGCGTGAAATATGTGAGCAATTCATACGCGGGTTCACGCTGTATGCGCTGTTTGTGTTAGTTATTCAGTAGGGTTTCCACTATCATTGTAGTCAGAATGTCGCAGTAGGTAAATATACATATACTTACACATCTTCGTCAGAAACTTTTCTATACTCACACGTTCTATTCAAAAAAGAGCATCAGCTCATGGCCAAAAATACCTTTTCAAATTTTAAGCTTAAATGTAGTAAACACTGGTCGAAAGACAGTATCTGGCAAAGAGATAAATGAATTACCTCCTTGCCGATGGCAGGCAACCCGTTGAGGCCATTACAGGGCGGTTCGAGGCGAACGACACTCTTGCGTGAGCCACGGAAACCGGTGTCACGCACACGCACCGAGGAGCGCCACGTGGAGGGCGGCGGGTCATCGCGAGAGCCGCGGGCGGAGGCAGCGCGCCGCGAGGTGGTGAGCGCCGCGCCGCCGGCGCCGGCGCACGGCGGCGACACGATCAGTGGCACGTCCGGTGGGCCGCGCTCCTCCATGCCGCTGCCGCGCCAACGTCCTCACCGGAACCCGCCGTGTTCCGACGCCTCCAGGTGCTCACATTCCAGCACGGCTCGCTCGAAGGCTGACGCCGACTCGAGGAGTGCGATTGCCGTGTTTTGCATAGATGATCGATTTATCCCCACGTACACTTCTTAACCCTCGTCCTCTTCTATTCCGATAATCGTATTATGTATTAGTAAATATTCTCAGTACTATTGAATAGTATTGAGGCTATTTTACGATGGTATGGTTTTGTAATATACTTTATTGTAACGAACAACAGTATGGTACAAGAATGGACAAAAAGATACGCAGCTATGTCGTAAATAGTCGGAAGCAGCTTAAGTTTCCACAAATGTCGGCTAAGACAGTAGTTCAAGTGTATAGAGCACGTCTAATAGGCATACAGCTACGAGCGCCTGAAAGCGGAGAACGAGGCCGGGCCTCATTCAAGACACTGTGTCAATGGGGAGGCGGTTCTTTTCATCTTTTTGTGCACATGTTCAATGTGCGCAAGACGTTTCTCTCCGTTGTTGGAGCTCGAGAATAATGACGGACACGAGGAAACTGACATTGAACGACAATACAATACGAATATCGAATGAAACGTCTTGTTGGACAACAGTGCTGCCATTGTGATCTTAGCATTATGCTACCTGACACTTTAGCCAATTTGTGAACTTCTCTGTACATTGTCATCTGGTTAAATAAAGTCAGTGTGTCTAGTGTTACATTATGACGACTGATTGGTTACATGTAATTATACAAAAGCTGCGTAGCGTTAGCAAAGCTCGTGAGTAAGTGTGTCTACGTGTGACTCATATACTAGGCATGTTAATGTTGCGAAGTGTTCCAACGCTGCAAATTATAATGTATGAAGTTACGTATAAGTACAAACTAAAATAAATTGACACAGATTTTTAAATTATACGCATCATTTTATTAGTCTATTAATCTATATTTATTTAATGGCCTATTACGAAACACCAGAAAAGCTTAGCGTTTCGACAGCCGAGAATGTTAGTGAAGTTACGTAAACTCGCTTTACGAGACTCTAGAGGCGGTCGGGGATCTTGAAACACATCATAACTATATTCACGATCTTGGATCAAACATGCTAAACGCATTCGTAATTCATAAACTAAGTAGATGCTTTGTTTCTGGCGAAAGATCTCATTACCTTCGCAGAAAATCTGATTTGAAACCACAAGCTCCTCGGCTTAATGTTACTTGATAATGCCAATTGGGTTGTCACGACGTTATACATAGAATTTATGAAGCTACAGCTGAGCCATAAAACTAAAGCTCGTATTTGAGTGGTCGCACGTAACAAAGGCAATGTTATTGACCTTAACGTAAAACAAAGGACGGTATGAGAACTAATCAATCCCTTTTGTTACCAATGTTATATTGTATGTTCTAGTAGTGTTATATTATTCTCTTAAATTGTAATGATTGTCAGTGTCAACAAATTAATGGCGACAAATATAACGACCCCCTGCAGCTGTCACTGTCAGTTCTTGTAGGTGAAAATGTGACTTAGAACAATCGACTCTAAGCATATATCATTATGTAATAGTGTCCAATAGCAAAACGATCTGATGTGGCTACAGATGAATTAAAGCTGTGCATTACGCCAACAATGCGAGATCTGATGGGTATTGTATGCAGCGCAACTCAAGCCTGAACAGAACCCCTGGAATCCTTCCAGAATGCGAAGATCGAGGGAGGGGCTGCATGCTCTGCATAGTTTTTACAATAGAGTCGCCGCCATACTATGAATATAGATAGGTACAATATAGCGACTGTAACTCACGTCACAATGAAGCTTCCAAAGCGAGAAGCACGGCTTTATTATAGAAATACAATACAATGTAAACGACTAAATAACATTCAAATAACTAGTTATAGCTACTCAGATATTAACTACTCAGTCAGAACCAACAAACCCTACAAGAAATTATGAAAGAAGAATGGTTCGATGATCTTTCATAAAATGTTGTAACATTCGTTCAGTCTAAAAGCATCAATTTAATGTGATAATGTATGTGAACTAACTTCTTTTACTAAGAAGAGAAAAAGTAGATAAATAACTTAGACAAAGGAAACCATACCATGGTAGTCATAACTCCAAGCATGGATCGCGTTTTTCCCCACAAGAATATCAAAACAAAGCAAGAACCAACCGAGAGAATATATAGCGCTAAGCCCGCAACCAAACGAAGAAGGAAAAACACCTCGACGACAATTTTGACGCACTGTTCACTGAGCGAACTAAGCACAGGACGGCACCACACAGGATATCATCGACTACTCAGTAAGCCTAAGCAATGTTTTACCACTTTTGCTTTATGTGTAAAATTTAAATAAAAAATACCTATCGCAGCGCAACAAAATCCGCAAAGGTCGACTGCAAAACGATAATAATAATTTTTACTTTTTAATGCAGTCGATCGATTAAGCGCTCGACTCGTTTACAACACGAACGGCCCGTTTTGTGAGATATGCGTTAGTTTCGGTGTATCGTGTGGAAAATATACGTTTTAGCAATGATTCGCGGCGGTCGTTCGCTAAAGGCGAGTCGCCTAGGAACGATATTAAGATAACAATTCGATGGCAGTGTGAGAAGCGGCAGAGTCCGCAGCGTGGTCGCTGGACGTAAACTCGATGGGGCACTGTAGCGGCGCACGCAAGAGGTCGCTGTGCGCACGTCGGTGCGCGGCGCCGAGCGGCGGCGGACGTGGCCGGAGACGGCCGAGCACAGGCGTGACCTCGCACAACCTCCCCTCAGCCATCGAATATTTCAGCTGAACGCACGGTGTCACTGGAGGAACACGCCGTGCGCTGCGGCCCGCGATCACGTGACACCACCATATTACCCCCTACGACACACTACTAACTAACCATTTCATTTACTTTATGATCCTACTGCCGCATATTTTGTAAACAATTTATTGATTTCAAGCAATGTTTTCATTTATTTTAGTATGAATTGTGGAAATGGGCCACTAATGGAATTTTCACTACTGTATATTTATGGTAAAAGTTGCTTACATTAGTAGTTAGTTTGTAAATCCAGTAGCTACTGTAAGGCATCGGCAAGGAGTGGTTTCTTAGTCCTTAGAGAATTTTTTTTCCATTTTATGACAAAGACAATATAGAAGAATAATTTGGGACTGTTAACATATTTCACAATTTAAATTTGTTAAATTTCAGGAAAAAATATATTTTCAATTAATGATAAAAATATTAAGTTTAATAGGGTATAAGATATTTATATCAATACCCTATTAAACTTATACAAAGTCTTAGAATACAAGCTTTAGAATACAAGGAGTTAGCAAAATGTGTCACTATCCTATAATATAATGTCGCGGACAACCTAACGAGTTACCGGGGCTCCAGCTCGACGTGCAGGAGAAGGAACGGGGCGGTTTTTAATCAGTAAGAGTCTGACACTTCCTCCTTCTTCACCTAGGCGGGAGCAGTGATTCGATGATATTCCCCCCTTAAAAAATATATAATAATTTTTATTTTGAGAGGTAAATGGAAATAACCCCAATTACAGGAACAAAAAGGAAAATCAAAACAAATGATAAATAAAACAATCATAGATATGGAAAAATACATTCAGAATGTTTTTATTTTTTTTTAAGGGGGAAAAATCATTGAATGACTGTTCCCGCCTGGGTGAGGCGGGAGGGAGTGTCAGACTCTTACTGACTAAAAACCACCCCGTTTCTTCTCCTGCACGTCGAGCCGGAGCCCCGGTTACCCGTTAGGTTCTCCGCGACTCCGAATCGGCAAATTAAATAATAATAACAGTCTTTAACTTAAAATTAGGTTCTGCGACATTTCGTAGCAAGCTCATAGTCGCTGCGTACACTTCGTAGCACTCGCGTAGGCGCAATGTTACATTGGTTTAAACGTAATTTGCATATTTATCACTAATATGTAATAGTCTGTAGCTATATACGCATATAGCTATGGTATCATGTCACCTTTGGTTCCTCAAAGGGGTAAGCAGAAAGACACATATTAATTGTAAAGCTTACATTTTTTACATATGTTTTTTTGGAATCCCGGAAATAGGGAACTATTGTCAGATAGGATTAACCTATTGTCAGATAGATTATACCTGAAACAATTGGAATACTGTGGTATTTATTGAAAATTTCAATAATTCTCTTAAACTGATCCACGAGCACAGTGACCAACGAAGCAGTCACAGTATGCTAATTTGGTAATTGTACCTCTATTGTATGTAGTATTTAGTATCGTAATTTAGCATTATGTATCTTTGATTAAAATTCAAATTAAATAGTTTTAGCACTTGGCAATTATTTATTAAAGTAGAATAAAAAAAAAATGATTTTGATTATTAAATTAAAATAAATTGTAAATTCATTAAGTCAGCGTTTCATATCTTGTATATTCTCGTATTTTGAATCCGGTGTGTTAAGTTAAAATAAATAATGATCAATTAGTGTTTCAATAACAGAGGTAGTATTTTGGAAATTATTTCCATATTTATTAGTTTCATAACTTCAAATATTGAGTAATTCACCTAAATATGAATTGTAATAAGGGTTAAGTTAATAGTTAAGCTACACCCAGTTTAAGTTATGCATCCTCGATTTCTGCATTGACGATTATTCTCAACATTTCGGTCTTCTAGGTGCCTCTGAAGGCACGAAAAGCTATTAGTAATGTTTACACAACGTATATAACAGTCGTTACTGAGAACGAGTTTCACTGTGAGGCTCATATCACCCCGAGTCAGTTGCGGAGAGCAGATACATGGGAATAAAATATATTCATCTGAATCTGGTTACAGCTAAGCAATTCTGTAACTCAATTCGAAAGATCGAAGTGAAGGCGATCGCGGTCCGCCATGTCATTGGTTGTGAGAATAATCTCGACCAATGACGGGCGAGAATGCAATCGAGCTCACTTCGAGTAGAATAGTCTAGCCGGGTTGATAGGCAAGGTGGTTAGTACGCCTTGTGCTGATGACAAAGTAGAATTTGTTTGCAATTTTTTTTTAATAGAAAAGCTTTGCTCCGTCCTAGTACTTTTTCCTGTGTCGTGGGTTCGTTTACAAACATACAAGTTCACATACACATGACACCCATACCCGAAATAACAATTTAAGGTGCGGGAATCGAACCCGGGACACTTTGCGCGGCAGCCGGTTGTCCAACCACCACATCAACCGTGCAGTCAAATTACCTCGACTCTTTCCGTGGTTGACGCAAGAACCGACTAAGAAACTGCTTGCCATAAAGACACTGAACTCCGATAACCATGAACCATTTAAACTGTGATCTCTAACCTACCAAGCGTGGAGGTTATTGCGAAAACCCCGCATGTGTAAAGGAGGCCCACAATTCCTGAATTGAACTGCCACGGACTATTGATGTGTGCGATCTAGAATATGGATATTTGGTCGAAGCTTACATTGTTTTTAGGAGTTAAAAGCTGGTGTTTTACACATAAAATGTGATTAGCCAGTGAAAGAGGCATTCCCAAAAATATATGGACATCATTCCCACTTCTATTCGTAGCACTTAAAGCCACATCCATTTATGAACGAAATCGAAGAACAGCAAACACAGCATGGAAGTACAAGACTACAAGGCATACGAAGGAACACCTTATTTTCACAATTCACAAACCGTTGAAATTGTACCTCTACATTTTAAGAACATTACAAATACGAGGGTCAAACTCGCTTTCATTGGTTGTAAGTGAAAGTGTTGCAATAATCTATGTAAGTAGAGGCAACTGCGTGACGGGTGAGATGGGCGTTAGATTGGCGATGGCTGCGAACCGGCCTCCACGCGATTAGCACGCGATAGTTCAAGGACTCGATACGCGAGATAAGCAACCCTACGTATAGATAACTCCTTCATGTTGCGCAACTAACCTTTCAGATTTAACTACGTATTTGATATTTGGTATTCGGCTTTAAAGTTGTTAAGTTATGATTTTTGATTTGAGAAACGGTTCGGGAACTTTTGATACGGGTTGAATGTGTAGAACAGATATGTGTGTTAACGTGTGGTTTATGTTTGTTTGCACAAGTCTGTATGAGGTTCATTGATTGAAATTATATTTTTTAAATTAAATTATAATTTAAATTTACCTTACTTATAGGAATTTTATAAAATATTGATTTTTATTAATTTTATTGATAAACATATTTTATGATTTTTAACCAAATAAGAGACTGCACGCACGAGACGCGGTGGTTGGGCAACTGGCTGCCGCCCAACGTGTCGCGGGCTCAATTTCCGCACGGAACAACTCTTTGTGTGATCGACAGATTATTGTTCGGGGTTTGGGAGTCATGTGTATGTGAACGTATATGTTGTTGTATGTTCTTTAAAACAAATGATCAGCTGTTTGATTATATTGACACCGTTGCATTGGTTGTCATTACTCATTAAATGTAATCATTAATTAATTTGGAACAGAGAACCGAGAACTCTTCCTCGGTATCTTGGACTACTTTCCTTGAGAAAGTGCTTCAAGGAGTGTCATCTCAAACGGGTAATCTACAAACTTGCATTAAGTAAGTAATTAGCTACGTAGGTACGGAGATACAAGACTGGCTCTGTCTCTGAGTGTCTATTAAGGGTTTAGACAACAAAAGTTATAATAGATATATCTGTGACCGCAATAACCATCAACAAAGCTTTCTGTTACTGTGAGGGGTTCAACGGTAGTTTATGTTTGCATGAGTTACTTGTAGGTTGTGTTGCAAAGACATTCAATTCGTGGGTCAGGCATTTTTTCTTTACCAATAAATCATACAATACATAACATAACATCATGCCTTTTACCCCGAAGCGGTAGGTAGATATGCACATTACGGCTCTTAATTACACTGTAGAATTTAACTCCCACTTTTCTCTATTTATGATATGAGTCCCGTGTAACATGATCCTATTGCCATATACTGGGCACAGCTCCAGACTCCGTGCCACCGCTGAGATTTTGTTTAAAAACTCCGTAATAGTTTACAACAGTAATATTTTACCAATAAGACAGTAAAGGTTTTCGCAGCGTCAGAATGTGTTTATTTTTATTGTTTAGATTCATTTTGAGTCGTTAGTTTCGGCGATTCTTTTCGCGTATCTCGTGAGAAACGATAAACCCACTACAAGTTTAGCAGAGACCCAGAAGCATCGCTCTTTTACGATCTTGGACTTTTTAAACTGCCTTCTCCAACCTACATGTTAACCTTGGATGTTATGGCAAACCCCTCATATGCAGAGCAGATCCATAGTCTGTAGTAGACAGCCATACCATGTTTATGAAGACTCTTAAGAAAAGGGCTCTAAACAGATGTCGTATGAAGAGTTCCATTTTATCTTTGGAACTACGTAACTTTAAGAAAAAGTCTAGTGGAAATGAAAACGCGAAAACCAAACAAGTCCATCAGTGTGATTATAATTTAACAAACAGGCGAGACCTCCAAAGCTTTCATTCCGAATATTCGGGGCAGAAATCTAGCTATTTTCAGTAACTAGGCCATCAATATGATACCTCTCACTACCTGCGCTGAACGTCATCGAGTTTTAATGAAATATGTATAATTAAGTGCGGAGTGCCTCGTC